AAAAAGTGCTGTGAATACATAAAATTAGAGGAAAAAAAAGTGTACAGGCATGAGCATGCGTCTACAGGGCAGGGGAAATTTAATGAAAGAAGAGACAATGCATGTTATTCCTCTCTTAAATCCTTCCTAATTTTTAGATCGGTTTGGCTGCGCACAGAAACTGGGGCTATCTTGAGAACTCGCGGAGTTAATGTGTTGTCTGTAAAGTTTGTGTCTGTAATAAAACAGCTGACTCACGGACAAGAGGGTTTGGGGAAGGTGCCTAGAGCCCCTCTCTCAACAGCACTGCGCTCGAAACTTCTCCAAGACCGGATAAGCATGTCATTTGTTTTCCTTCAGCCGGAGCTCTTAATCACGTTCCTAGGAATGAAGAGTAACAGACTAGAGGCCTCTGTCCAAATTTTGGATCAGCTTAACTCCAGTTCTTTCCCTGGGCGACCCGCCTTAAGGCACTTTCTCCTCCCGTCTCCAGGGAAGAAGGATGACTGTCCTCCTTTCCAGTTAATTCTCTCCAAGCTTGTTGGAAAGAGCCATTAGTTTATGTTTTATTCTTCATGCCTGTAAGATCTTGGGATGAAATACTCTCAATACACCACCAAGCCTATTCCTATTTTAAGTACCTGCATCTTCCAGGAGAAGGAACACGCTGACTCCCCACAGGAGAAATAAATGGAGTCAGCTTGCTGGCTGGCACACCGTCTTTAGGAAAGAATAAAAAGAGACACAGATCTTCTTGTTCTGTCTGCGGCAGAAAATGTGTCCAGATCTGGGGAGGCAGAGCACAGATTTCAGAGGCGTTGTGTGTTCCACACTCAGCGCCACACAAATCAGGGGTGTTGTTGCTGTTGTTTGGCCCAACAGAATAAGCTCTGAACACACAAAAAGGAGAGGATACTCGGATACTGATAAAATGCACTTTCTAAGAAGTGTGTAGGAAGAAGCAGGTTCCTTCTCTTACGTTAGTGACTTGTTCCATGGCTGTGATGAAAGAAAATGACTCTGGCTACCTGCATCTCAGATGATATATGCAGACCGAGGGAACCCCTGGCACTCGTGAACAAAACAGCATGCAAAAAATTTTGTTCTGTTTTACCGCTGTAATCTCTTTGAGAGGTTTTTTGTTTTTTTTTTGCCGGGGGGTGGGGGAGTCCTTCTCTTTGTGTTCTTATCAAAATCGACAGGCGTCCATGTGTTACTGAGTGACGTGAAGTTCTTGCTTGAATAAGCAGGACTAAAACTCCAGGATATTTCAAAGCAGAGTACTGACTCAGAGAGCCACCCACTAGATTGGACTTTTCTGAGTTAACCCTGGCTGACAGCATCAGGGAGGTAGTGCTTTTCCCCCAATTTTCAGGTCCTGTCACGCGCACAGCGCAGCATCCTCGTCCCAGGGTGCTGTGGTTAGGGGTTGTGTTACTAAAATGGTTTCTTTTATTCCAGAAACCCCCACATTTAGGAATTAAACTGAGTCAGAAAGCAGACAGCAGGAAGAGGAACTGAAAGTTCTTTTTATTTGACCTTCCTTCAGGGTGAACCCTAACCAACGCCATTGCTGGGAGTGAGATGGCAGAATTCATGGGACACTTAGAATGCAACTATGGGTGATTTTTTTTTTAATGAAAATTAATGGATTTTTGTTTTAATCTGAGCATGTGCTGAGGTTCTTAGGAAGGCAGTATGGTGATCTCTGATGGGAAATGTCAGAAGGGTCATTATGTTGGGATGTACACGTGGCCTTTTAGTCCCCTGTCTTCTGCTGTTCCAGAAATCGTGTAGAAAGGGCTTAGAAGCTGCTTTCTGTTTGGAAAAGGGAAGGGAGAAGAGGGAACTTGCCTAGAAGCAGCATTTGTACACCAAGCTCAGTTTTTACTTAGGTACTATTTTTTTTTTAAGAGTGGTTTAGCTAATCACCTCCCCCAAAGCACCATGGTGCCCTTGACCAATTCCTTGGGCAATGCAATTTCTTGCCTTAAAAAAAATACATCCATTCATCATCCATATTTAAAAAGGACACACAATTATTGCACATTTACTGGTAACAGGGACCATCAACACTTACAACTCCATCTTTAAAATAGGCACACACATGTATTTAACTACTGAGCGACTTGACTAATATAGCAGCACGTATCAAACTAAAAACTGACAGAGAATATCGGCCTGATTAGTTATTTATAATCATTTTCAGAAGCGCTTGTTTTCCAGAGGGACCGTACAAAAATCATCATGCTTTTCACAGCATTTCTGCCAGCACTTTTCCTGAAGTATGCTTATGTTATCAGCAGAATATGAAACGAAGCTTTGCAAACAATCTCCGTTTTGCCAATAGTTCCTAAGAAAGTGTTAGAATGGTGAGTGAGCAGTTCATCAAATTATCTCGGTCTCTCTTTACGGCACCTAGGTTGTACACGTTCCTGTAACAAGAGATGAAAGATTCCGATCACCATCCCTGGGATACGAGATTCAAATACACGTGTGTGCCTCACACACCACATTGTCTCCTTTGATTCTTTTTGTGTGGCGGTTCAGGCGACTTGAGCATCCCACATGCCTCCCTAACAAAGTGTGGTTCTTGCCACACCGCTCATGTTCCGTCTCTGATCCTGACTGCTTCCCTGTTATGTCTGCAGCACTATCTATCGGGAACTGGCCTCTCTAATCAGGACTCACAGTCACTTTCAAAGGAGCTTAGATCTCACTTTTGGATGGTCTATCTACTTTATCCCTTTGGCCTAATCTGAGAAAATTTAGGCATCGTCTTGGCTGAGCTCCTGGGCAGCTCACAATTCAATGTAGATACAGTCTTGGCTCCTGGAACATACCTATGATTATTCCCTAAAGCAGAACCTGAAATTGTCTTCATAACTTCCCCTGCTTCCTTAGGGCACCATGGTGATTTCTCTGGACCAGACTCCTCATGGTTTGCATCAGAGATACTTAGGTTTTCTCCTCTCCAGAGTCACCTTTGTAGCTGTGATAGTTTACTCCTTGCACAATACACTGTCCTTGTTAAGCCCACAACGTTGTGTAAAAAAACTCACCAAGTTTTTTCTACTTCTGTAAGACGCTCTTAACCCCATCTTGATTATATGTATAGATAATTTCCTTTAAGCGTCCTAGTCTTAGTTTTTTCTCCTCTCATTTTTATTTTATAAAAATATCTATCTCCCATCTCATTCAGGCAGAATAAAAATGCTTGACTTTTTTATTTTCTCTATAAATCATTACTGTGTTACATTGACACATAATGTCTGCCTTACGCTGTAAGCTTTGCAAGTACAGGTTGTAAGCATTTATGTCACTCTGCATAGCGCTGAGCACAATGTCATGATCTCTTCAGTGGTTTTGATGATGATGGCGATGATGGGACTGACCACGTAATGCTGTTCTGGTTCGAAAATACCACATAGGTAGTCCAGTGCATCTTTTTTTTTTTTTAATGAGTTGTTCCTCATTCTATAATGCTGTCATTCTTCATTAGCAAAAAAGGTTACTGTAAGTTATAATTAGTGTTTAGTGCCCTGTCAAATAATTAAGTATAATAAAAAGCTTTCAATGAGTTTAATGTTAACATGGTATAATTAAAGCCAAGTCTTGAAATGCATTAGGTTGTCTATTATGTCAGACATCTGAGGCTTTCTCCCTTCTACAGCTGAAATTCTCAAATTGTGCTTATAGCAATGCCATCAGCAAAGACAGAAAACTCATTATCAGTCTGAGGCAGAATGGGCTTGGCAGTGTCCAGAAAGGGCACTATTTTAAAAATTAAGATCATTTCTATAAATCCACTATTTACTGATAAGGAAACAAAGATGTTGTGTGACTTGCCCAAGGTCATATGGTAGTAAATTACTTTTCCTTGGTAGTGAGAATGGTGGCTTAGGATTATACAGAGGTGATTATTATTATTATTACTGCCATTCTCTTTTGGAAGTATCAGATATTTGCCATAAAGTGATTATTTTTGTCTTTTTCTTGATGAGGTGGAAAAAACAGGTGCAAAGTAAAAGAACACAGCTTGTATTTAGCTTTTGCATTGAACACTGATTTTAGGATGCAGGGCTTGTCATAGTGCCTATTTTAAGGCTCAAATACTGAGACAAGGCTGAAGTCTCATCATTTTCTCACCAGAATAATTGGAATGTGCCTAGATACTTGGCCATTTTGAACCCTGCATTCTTTGACCTTCTCAGGCCTTCTGTTGTGCATGTCGTATTATCTTTTCTATCCACAAGGATTTTGAAAAAATTCAGCAGAGTGCAAGTAGCCCCTGAAATAAAGGCGTCATTCAAGGAACAAAGAAGTAGAAGGAGGGCTCCAATTAAAATGATGAAAATCTTTAATTTTTATTTAGGTATACTTGTACGGACACGTGTATATACAAATACAGATCTTATGGGTTTGTCTGTGTGTGTGTTGTATTGGTTTTTTTTTTCTTTTTTACATTTTCTTTTGCGTTTATATAATGTCAGCATTTCAAAACAGCACTCGATGAGTAAGTGCCAAGGAGCTGCAAAGCGGGCAGTGCAAGCGCAGGACCGCACGGGGCAGGACTCCACACCCAGACGCACACACAATGAGTGGCTTCAATGCGGTGTCACGAGTAAAGCATGGAGCGCGGGTTTGACTCATGGGTAGCCTCCAACATGCCAGCACCTACTACACTGTACAGACAACGGGGGCACGCCCATTGGAGGGAGATTTGTCTCACATCCGAGCAGCTCTGGGGCAGACGCATGGGAAAAACTCAGTGATGCCAAACCAGAGACGGACCTGCCCATTCACAGTTCTGCGGGAAAGCAAAATGTGGGAGGAAGGCGAGAGACAAAACATAAAATAAAATAAAGAAAGAAAAGGGGGTTGTCGGCAAACGAGCGTTTTTGTGGAGGTGGTTTCCAAAAGAAAAAAAAAAATCAGCGATCACAGCTCTGAGAGCAATGAATGGAGGGAAGAAAGTCTAAACTGCTTTTTGTTTTTAAAATTTGGGCAAACTAATAAAAATGGCTGCTGCCGTGGCTAAGGCACCAGAGAAAACCAAAGTCCCTGAAAATCCACAGGTTCGGTGCGGCTCTGCCTTGGCTGGTGACGCAGAGAGGAAGAGCCCTCGGCCAACCTTCTCAAGGGAACGGGTTTGCAATCTTTCCCACGCTTTGGCTGCCCGTGACAGTGACAAGCCTCTTCCTGGAGAAAAATGGAAACAGTCATCTATGAAAACCCCCCACAAAGAGGAAACCAAAGCAGAGTACAGAACTGTGACTGAATTCCCGAAACCTTTGCAGACCAACATGCTGGGGTGGGGGGGCGGGAAACACCATGGGCTCCAGCATCAGACCTTGAAAACATTGAGGACAAACTATCGATCAGAAAAAGTCATGTTGTTCCAGGTCCCAAGATGGTGGAGTCTTAAGATTGGGAAGGCGATGACCACACGTGAGTCCTGTATGGAGCAGTGTCTCAGCCGCTTGTGACTCTTCTTAGCCACGAATACATCGGATGTTTCAAAGCCTCAATGCATGTTTTGTATCCTGAAAGACTATTGTTCTCACTTACAAAAGACATAAGAATCAAATTAATACTTTATTATCAAACACTATATACAACAGAGGTTGCTAATAATACAGAATTTAAAGAACGCAGTTTTTTTTTTTCTTTTTTAACGTTTAACTTTTCTTTCTTCTGCCACCCAAGAAAGTACAGTACAAAACAATAGTCTAAACTAATACGGACTGTTACCTGGTCTAGTAAAGGATACACGGTATCCACTAAACAGACAGATCCTTATTTCCCTGCTTCACGCTGCAAAGCCCTTGGCAAAGGTCGCCGGGGTTTGACTAACTGGGGCTGAGAGGCAGCGAAAGCTGCCCTTCAGAGTCTGACTTGGTTTTGAAATTAAAAGCCGCTACAAAGTTGCGTCGACATCCTCCTAAGGCCCTTGAGGGTTGTAACACGATCACAAAAGGCCATCAGCACTTTTTGGACAAAATGAAAACTGTCTGATACCAATCATCCTGAAATCTCCATGGCAAGCGCTACCTACAGTTACACCGCTTATAGGTAGAGAAGCACGTTTCTACTGGTGTGGGTAGTCTTGCTTTTTTTTTCCTTTTACATTTAATTTTGTCATGGCACAGTGATGAAGTAAAGGGTTCTAATTTCACTGTGAAAAATGAGAGACAACGGCAGAGAGGGCCATGAGTAATTACTTCATCATCTATTAGAGACAAATGCTAGAAAAGCCACAGAAGTCACCATTTCTAAAATGAAATTAGCACTGCTAATGTAGTTATGACTAAACTGGAATCATTACAGGATCGTTTGATTTCCTTGCGGTTATAGAACATGCAGTATAATTTTGGTTCTGACTATTGATCCATTTTAGAAGGTGTCTCCCCCCTCCCCACCTTACCCAAATCCCACTGGACCAACAAGCCTGTAACTATTAATAAGAAAAGAAATATTACTGAGTATTACTGAGAGCTCCAAGTATATAAATAGTTAATGCAAAAAAAAATAATAATAATCCAATGCTGTGAGCTTTTGTTTCAGTGAAATGGTGGCTGCCTTCTGTGATAAGACTCTGCCACTCCAGAGACGTTCCTGGTGTCTGGGAAACAGGACTGATTGCATCTGCGAGGCTGGCAACCGCACTCACACGGTTCCAAGTCCCACTCACACGGTTCCACGTGCAAGCAGACGGGTGGAGCCTGAACATCCGCTCCAGACGGATCGGGGGACCCAGATTACACTCCAACGTGCGCACAACTCTCCAGGGTGCCTCGCCTTTACAGCTGCCTTTCACTCACATATTTCTCTAATCGAGAACCACTTACAGTTCTTTAGCAAATTCCCATTCATAAAATCTGTCCATAATATGACCCCTCTTTTTTTTTAAACATGTACATTAAAAACAAAAAATTAAAAAAAAAAATCCTTATTGTGCTGGAATGCTTCCAATTTTTCACATCTTACATGATCCTTGCATTTTATTGGTTTTGTTTTTGAAAGGCATGGTTTCTATTGACGTGTCCTGCCATAGCAAAAAAAAAAAAAAAGGCTTAATTTCTTTTCCATAGGTCTGACACTTTTCCCTGTCTCAGATTTTGGAGTTCAAAGTTCGTGACACCCTCTGCAGTAGAAACCCCCAAGGCTTGCATTTCCTGGTAACATCCCCGTTGGCCGATTTATTATCCTCTCGCCCCACCCCCACAATGAAACAAGATAACCCCCCCATATTTCTAAATGTATCAAGGGATACCACTTTTTTTTCTCACAAGTTTAAATAGGACAAGCATATATACTCACTCTCAGAATAAAGTATATCTAAATAATGTATTTTCTATTCTAGTGGATTTTTAAAAAAATATTTTGTTAAAGTCTTTGGGACTCCATCCTGTTTATCTCCCACAGATAAACACATGTTCCCCCTAGGCTTCAGGCTGTGTCAGAAAGGGAAAGGATATAAAATCAACTCTTGAATTTTCTCTTTCCACAGTTTGGAATCTTTATTCCAAATTTCCCTTTAGCCCTCCCAAGTAGTACAGACTGACTCCCGGGAGCAGGGCTGCATGTCGGCGCCCCTGGAGTCGTGAGCGCAGAGCCGAGTGTGGGCCCTGGGGTGGGAGCTGGGGAAAGGCCACACCACGCTGGCCCTCCAGCAAAGCCAGATTTCGTGCCCTCTGGCCCCTGACATCCTTTCCTTGGTGCACGTGGTCCCCCAAAGGAGTATCCAAAGCTATTCGGTAATACACTCATCGACCCTGGCTTCTCAGCCTCGGGGAAGGTCACTTTATTCATAAAAATGCCTCTTTCAGGTTCTTTAAAAAAAGAAAAAAGAAAAAAAGTTGTAGCACCATGGTGATCTGTATTCAAAGGAAAAAAAAGAAAAAAAAAAATCATCTGGTGTGCATTGCCCAGTCACCAAAAAAATTAGAGGCACTCATCACACGTTACATGGCCCCCATCCATCCTGGTTTTCTGCTTTCGCGCTGGCTCTGTGCTAGCATTCCGGCCCCTGACCCGCCTCCTAGACCAAAAGGCTTCTTGTATGGAGCGCAAGTTTTGCTGCCAAGGATGGTTTAAGACAGTCATCTGTAAAGGAAAACAAAACCAAACCAGGGTCTCCACCTTTGAGAAGCCTGTGCGTTTATGCGCTCCTAGAGGAAACGGTGTAATCTGATCTCTTAATACCTCCCCTCCGGACTCGACAGGCTGACGCGGGGCCCTGCGTCCTACAGTCCCGAAGGAGAAGGCATGAACCTCCGGGGCCAGGGGAACACCCCGGGCCTCCCCACCAGCAGCGGCCTCTGCATCTGTCCTGCGGGTCCGCGCGCCGCGGGCAGCCGGCCGGCGGAGGGGAGCGCTCGCAGGAGGACGCACGGGAGCGGACGCCCACTGGGGTCCCTCCGACACTCTGGCATGTTCATCTGGAGTCCGTGTAATTTGGAAGGGGGTGAGGGAGGGCAGGGGCCGGGGCGAGGGAGGCAGGAACTACTTTAGCACACCACCACCACCACCCACTCCCCCAAGCCCCGAGTTGTTGCTTAGAATTCAGGCTGAAAGAAAAACAAACAAACAAACAAAAAAATCTGACATCTGCCAAGAAAAAAACCAATAACAAGTCCCTTCTTAGGATGAGCAGTTAGGTGGATCTCTGGCGTTCCAAGACCCTGATGTTCTCGGTGACAGGTGACGGGAGGAGACTGTGCTATAATGTCAAAAGCATCGCCAGGAGGAACAGCAGGATCGCCAACAGGCGGCTGGGTATCCTCGGTGTCTGTGCGGCGTTCTCGCCGCGGGATGGCTCGGCGGATTCGTGGACGGTGTCATCTGTCCGAACAGAAAGCACACGTTCCAGTGAGATTTCACAGCCTTAATAACTCTCTCTCTTGCAGCAGCAGCCTGCTGTTCGCAGACCTCGCCACCCTCTGCAAAGTAGGGTAATGAAGCTTGTGCCACCACTGACTTTCATGTCTGCATAATCACTCATTATTTACAGCAAACAAAGGGAGAGGCAGAGAAAATTGGACTTTCTCGGCAACATGAACGGTGTCCTTAAAAACTGAGGCGGAGAAAAACGTGCAGGCGCGGTAACCTCTGGCCCGTGAGCTGCTTGGGTCCGCTGGCAGTCACACACACCATGCGCAAACCTGCCGTCTGAGCCGGCCTTCCAGACCCAAGAAGCCAGGCAGAAGCGAGTGGCCGGGCGGGGCGGGAGTGGCGGGACGCAGTTAATGCTGGCATATTAGTGGTTAGCCAGAACCCGACGCCCCTTTCCCTCTTTTAGCGGTTTCACAGGATTAGTGTTGAATGCCTGGTGGCTGGACGTCTAGATGCATTTTCAAAGGTGAAGAATTAAATAATAAAGGAGCATTTTAACTCAACGATACGTGATGCTCACCGAGCCTAAATAAATCGGTGCCCGCTGGCCTGCCTACCATTAGGAATCAATTATGGTGCTATTTCTATTACAGACCCTGTATCTTCAGGATTAAATGACTTGAACTTGACTATTTTTTATCAGGCTGAAGCTGGGCACATAAATCATCAACGTGGATGCAAATTTTCCCCTAAATAAAATGGATTAAGTGAAGTAAGCTTCTTTTATTTAGCCATCAAGTGCTCTGGGAGACTGCCTCTGACTCTGGACAGCCTCCCGGCGTGGCATGATTAACAGGCTTAACCAGGAGACAGCACCTCTGCGGCAGTTAGCACCCGAAGGCGCACCTCACTACGCTCTCGTGTCGCCCGCCTCCTTCCTTCCACCTGCCGCTCCCCTGCTCTTAGACCCAGTGATCCCTGACCTGCACTGGGGCCACCAGCGGGTTCTCTGGTAGGTTTCCTTTTAGCACCCGTGGGGCTTCCTGTGGGAGCTGAGGGGTTGGCGGGGTGGGCTCACGCAGTGGTCGGTCAGAGGGAACAGCAACAAGTGAGACTGCCCTGGTTGTTCCCAACTCTGCAGACCTCAAAGGATCATCCCTAAACCCCAGCTCCAACCCCTCGATGGATTCACTCTCTTAAATGCATCTCTGTTTTCACATCACGTCACATGCCTCTTCTTTACCAGGTAGAGCACGCTCCCTTGTTATTTGTCCTAAAGCGACTGCCTTTTAGGCTCGGGCTGGCTTCTACTTGAGCTGGGCACTCGTGGGCTGCTTCTGTTCATTGCTTTCTCTCCCTCTATCAACTTAGAAACGTGTCTTCTCAGCGCTGAGGCTTCTGCTCTCATCATGTTAGCCTGTCCCCACGTGGAGAAAGTGCTGCATCCTTGTTTCAGATCTGCTCTCCTCGCCTGGGCCTGAGCAAACCTGCGTGGAATACCGAGTAGCCGAGGAGACTAGGAAAGGTTAGCAAGCAAGCATGGGAGTTAGATGGATGCAGAGGGGAGAGGAAGCCCCTGCATGATGTAATCAAAGACTTGTAGACTCTCTGCCCTGCTCTGAGCCTTGCGGATGCACTAAATCTGGAGTTAGGAGGTAAATGTAAATGCCCTTGAATAGCCCTGAAAAGAAAATCCAAATCAGTGTCGTAAGGGCACCAATCTGTTATTATTCGGAATAATAGAGGACTTCGGGCTTAACTGTGAAAGAACCATAAACCCTGAGGATTCTGAGGGTTCATTTTGAAATACCACTTGTACTGTATTGATATGCCTGAAATTACATCAGCCACTGGGTTCCTCTCCGTCTTATTTTCACTAACCTATTACCCAATCCTCTTCCTTGAAAAGTTGGATCATGGACTGATGAAAGGTACCCAAGAAATAGGTAGATGCTCAGTGAGCTTGAAGGGGGCCACCGTCCCCACCAGGTCAGGGTGCCCAGTGAGGGCTGGCTGTGCTCTAGGCCCCCACGGCACAGACAGGGGAACGAACCTTGCGGACCTTTGAGAGGAAAACTTTGGTTTCCCACATGAGAGAAACCACGAGGCCAAATGTGCCTTTCGAGCCTAGTCTTTTTCTCAGCCACCAACCAGTAAGTACCATCTTGGCCTCAAAGGAAAAAAAAAAAAAAAAAAAAACCTCAGTCCCCTTAGGGCATCAGGGCTCATCTCTTCTCACCGTAACACACTAGTCCTGGCTTGGGATTCTATGAGAAATCTGTGATTAAACAGGGCCTCGGTGCTGGGCAATCCTGTGGCCTCCAGGAAGCAAGATGAAAGCCAGGCTGTCATTTGGGTTAAGTCTGAGCAAAGTTCAGAATTCTAAAGAGGAAGTCACAAGCAAAACCTAACCCAACAGAAATTACACCTAAACATGAGAGAATTTCTACAACTGGTAACAGCGATCGTGGCTTGGAGGAAGAAAACACTTCGCTTCGGAAGCCAAATCAAGTCTCGCCTCCTGGCTACAGGATTCCATGCCACGAGGGTTTCAGTGGTTCACTGAGAGAATGCTGGCGATGTTTCGGAGCATGTTCTGTGGTGTATTTCTGCTCTGAGATCATCCTGTATCCCTGATGACAGGAAACTGGCAGGCAGAGTGTGCAAGCAAACAAAAAGAGAAACACATTCCGAAGACAGGTGAATTAGTATGCATTGCTGAGAACATGCAGCAGGATCCTTTCAGCCTTGCTGGCTTCATAAAGTCTGGTCTACACTCAACCATCCGACACCGTGGGTCAGAGCTGCAAGCCTGAATTTCCTAAGGAACTCGGGGAAGTAGCAAGGCTATTATTGTATTCATACAGCCAGGGATCATAGCTCAAGCTTGTCTTACTTTTTTAGTGAAGATGCTCACCAGAACACCCTTAAATATAGTCCTCACTGCCTCAAGGCACTTTTCTTAAAGGTACACCTGCATGTCCATCCCCAACACACAGGGTCTGACCACAGTCTGTCCAAGTTTTGCAAACTTGTATCAGCTATGAGTGCATAGATTTGGGGGCCATTATGGATTTAAATGCCCAATGAAAACACAGCCTGTTCCCCCAAAGACCGTGAAATATGTTCACACATAAATACATCTTAGGATCCTGCATTTTTATCATTAGTTGAATTCAAAGGTAATTTCCTAATGTCTAAATGGTCCTCTGTGTGCCTCTTTATTACCAAAAAAAAAAAAAAATGCTATCTGTTATATTTCTAAATAGTCTCTTGCTTCCTCAGTGGGCAATGGGGTTTACCTGGAAAAAAGATTACTGGAAAGTTCTGCCTACAGTCTACAACAGCATGTGTCAAAAAAACTTAATTCAGGATAAGTTATGTCTGTAACATGCCCAACGCCGCCGGTCAGCTTCCATGCAACTTGTGAACAAAGCTAAGACGATGAAGTTCTCTGCGTGGACATCTCAGTCAAGCGATGGTAAGAGAGTCCTACGTTTATACTAACGTAGGAATGGGAGTTGAGAAATATATCACTCCTGGATCTGGGTATAACCAGCTCAGTTACCAAAGGAAGAGTGTCGACTCCCGGGTCCTTAAAAAGAGACCTCCGCTCATTCACAGGTCCTACCTCGGCCCCCGGCCTCAAGCCTGGGAGGGGTCTGGTACCTTTAAAAGCCACAGGAATGCTTCCAGATTTCCAGAACACAATTAAAATGTCTCCCTGTCAGCACTCATTCCTGGCAACTTTTCTAAGGCAGCTAACGGATCCCTGGGGAGCCGCTAAGGCCTCTGAGAGCTTATTGTACATGCCTCTCCTTTGCACAAGAGGCCTGCCTTCGAGAAACAGGAATGCTTGGAGAGAAAGCCCAACTCTCTGCGTCAGTTACAACGCAGAAGCTCTTGTGTGTCCGGAGGCATCACGTCTACTCAGGGTACATTTCCGTAAGGCCCACTGACCGTGTGTCCCAGCAACAGTACTCAAAGGATAAAGCGGATGTCACAGCTTGTTTCATGTTCAAGGCCATCAGAAAGGTAAGCCCCACTGCAAATAGGTGGGCCAAAAAAAAAAAAAAAGTCTTTACATAAGAGGAGGCTTATACCTTTCTGAGAAGAGGAAATAATTTTCTCCTTAAGCTTTGAGGGCTTCCCTGGTAGCTCAGCTGGTAAAGAATACGCCTGCAATGCAGGAGCCCCAGGTTTGATCCCTAGGTCGGGAAGATCCGCTGGAGAAGGGATAGGCTACCCACTCCAGTATTCTTGGGCTTCCGTGGTGGCTCAGCTGGTAAAGAATCCACCTGCAATGCAGGAGCCCCAGGTTTGATCCCTAGGTCGGGAAGATCCGCTGGAGAAGGAAAAGGCTGCCCACTGCAGTATTCTGGCCTGGAGGATCCCGTGGACTGTACAGTCCATGGGGTCACAAAGAGTCGGACGTGATTGAGAGACTTTCACTTAAGCTTTGAGGCAGTCACAGAAGATGGGTAAGGACACGAGTGAAGATCTCAAGCAAGTCGGGTGGGGAAGGGCAGCCACAGGCAGGAGGGTGGACAGGGGCTTTGAGGCGATTCCTCAGTGAAGACAGGATAGAAGATTCCCTGCCCACCCCCCCCGGCTCACAATCTAACTGCATTCAAGAGCCAGGTTGAATTCATAACCAACTAAATGGAGAGTTTACAGATTTACATTATCCACAGTAGGCTGCAGTGCAAATGCTTCAGTGATTCCTTTAGTGGGTTTTATTTTTCTCCATAGTGACAGGAAAGTTTGGGTGTGTGGAAGATAAAAGTAGTAGAAAAATTTATTTATCCTTAATACTTGTCTTGCCTTGGTAATCAAGGATCACGTTTGGCATGACAGACTACTGTGGATACATTCGTGGGAGCAGCAGGTGCGTGAATTTGTGGTGTTAGGAGGCAACATGATTATCCTTCTCCAGGCCAAGTTCTATTGACAATGGCACAGATAATATTCGAAATAAAATGAAGTCCTTCAGAGCAGTTCAATGATGCCTGTGAATTTCTAGAGAAAACTAACGAGGCTGAATTAGTTGCTATTTTGTGCAACAGTCTGATTACTTTTATCCGAAGATTGGGATCTAATATGAAATATTTATAAGCGCATACAGTAGAAATTTTCTTTGAATTATACGAAAACAGATCCATTAATAGTCACAGTGATTCACCAGCATGCTCAGAGGATATGGTAAAAAGAAGTGAGACTCTAGCATTCTGATGGGGCTTCTACACGAGGATGTTGCGTTATATCCAACCCACGGCGAGAGAAAAGCAAAGTTGTAATTTGTCTAACATGCATTAATTACACAGAGATACTGGAGGAATGAGGTAGAAATAAGGAACATTAGCATCACTAGCAATGAGCAAAAGCCAGGCAACTACAACATGCAAACATGCAGGGAAGAAGGAAGGAAAAAAAGTCCGGAGGTACCAGAGAGAGAGATGCACTTGTTAAAAGAGATTCTCTAAGCATACTAACCTGCTGGTTCTAATGAATTTTCTACTTTGTCGTTAACATCGAAAACACGATCATGAACACCTATAGTTTTCATACAGCTATCTATAACAAAAATAGAGATAACAGCCAAATATGTTAGTGAAGACGCCCTTCAACTCCCATTTCTTTTTCTTTCTTTTTTTTTTCTTTCTTTCTAATTTTTCCTTTTATTTACGGAGAGATTGGTTTACAATCAGCGGCATGTATCCAAATGCCAGAACTGTTCCCATTCACTGTGCAGGTCCAACAGTCTGAGAAACAACAAGTTAGCAACTGCTGTATACTTAAAAGCATCATGGAAAAAAAAAAAAAGATGAGAAAAAATATGATGGGAACTAAAACATGGAGGTCGATATACAAAACAGATACCACACAGGATTTACAGTAAAAAAACAGTTTTACCGCCATGAACCAGACCACACAATAGAGCATGCGCAGTGAAGCCACCCTCAGAGACAGTCATTGGCGGGGACTTACTTGTTGGCCGCACGAAGACCTTGAGCTTCAGACAGGACCGCCTTCCGTTGTCTGGGATCGCAGAGGCTGCGGGAGAGACGGAAAGAGAGAGCGAGGGAGAAAGAGAACAGCGCCAGATTACTCTTCATTTTCAATGCAAAGCGTCTACAGTCAGTTCTTTCCTGAGCAACGGGAACGTGCTCTTAATTCCTCCCAGAAGGTGAAACAGAAACACTTCTCAGATGGACACTGACGGCTAGAGAAAAGGGCTGCTTTCCTGTGCCTATCTTCTCCTTTCCATGAGAGGAAGAATCTTGCAGGAACACTGGTAATCTGCAGGAAAACACCTCCGATTCTCATTTCAAAGGCTCTTCCCTTTATCTTGCTCTGCAATCAGCTTCCTCTAAACTAAGAAGATAAAGCTTGAGCCTCGGGACTACCCTTCCCTCCACTGCAGGAAAAGGGCCCGCAGGCCCCCTGAGCCCAAGGTCAAAGTGCTGGGGAAAACCAATAAGCGACAGCTACAAGGCCAACTTAAACATGACCCAGTTCTGCTGGGAAAGCGAAGCTGCGTCTGTCCTGAGAGCCTGTCAGTGTTTCGCAGGTAATTCAATTAGAGGTTTTACTCCGAACTTGGCTCCACATCCTATATGACTAAGCCGAGCCCAGCAACTTCCATCAGGCCATTATAAGTACAATATGCTATTGAGAAAGCGCCGTGTTGCAATGGTACATTTATTTTTTAAAGACTTGCCACAGAGAAGGATGGGATTAATAAAGTGGGCTTACCAAAACATGACAACATGTTTCAAGTTATAAATCATTTGAGGAAGAAACTTTCTTCTCCTTTTCAAGATAATCAGACTGTAAACTTTCCTTGTGTTTGAAAGATTATCTCCCCTCCGTGCAACCAGCATAATGTCAAAGGGATCGGTTAGGCAGTAAGACCCTCACCAGGCACACATGTTTACAGACGCCTCCTAGAAACGGCAGCGATTACAGTGATGGGGGCCGCACGCTGCCCTCCCCGTGTGTCTGCCTCAAGTGCTTCCTTTGTTCACAGAACACAGATGCCATCAACCGAAACACACATGGCTCAGTGAGCTTGCTGATACCCTCTGTTCAGAGCGCCTTCTCTCACCCCTTTCTTACAGGGGGAGCCCAGAAAATTAACATGTCGATTTTGTAGGTGAGAGGATTCAAGACTAATTTTCCAACCATCTTCTTGTGTGACTCCAGGCCCGCAGCCTGGACAAGAACCGATCAAGTCACCACCCAGAGGACATCAAGCTGGAAGGGACCCCGGTGTCGGTCTTTCGCACCTGTTGAAAACTCTCTTTAATTCTTAGGCCAAAGTAGGTACAGGAGAGACGCTTCCAGCCCTCCCTGTCTTCCCGTTTGCTCCGACAGGCAGTTGAGAACTGCTAACAGCTGGCTTTGCCGTAGGCGTTCATTAAATCAAAGTAGGAAAAACTCCCTCCACTGACATTTACAGTAACTAGTGTGTTATTTAGGGTATAATATTTGCACTCTGTGGTTTGATCCAGGAAATGGTGTCCTTCCTGGGGACCTCCAACAGCAAGTGAGCATGTCACAAGTACAGTGCACTTAGGTGATTCCAATTCATTATAAAAATTACGGGTTCTTGAGATGGTTTATATCTTATTCATGAGGGGTGGTGTGAAACGGTGACACATGGATATTTACGCTGCTATTCTATTGGTTTCTGAGCTGGGGTGAACTCACTACAAGCTTCATGTACTTGATTTTGCCACATGCAACAGCCGATTCTACCGATGATGCTGTAAGATACCACAAGCTCAAGGCAAGATTAAATGTTTGTTTTAGGGGGGAACTTCTTAAGAGTCCGTACAGGTTTTTCAGAGATATATATATATATGTTTATATGAGAAATCCTATTAGTCCGGGACATAGCAATCACTGGGGCCCATTGGAATAACTAAACACCGACATATGATAAGCTGTCCATACAAGAACTGAATTCTCTCACCAGTTTGCAGAGGAGCAATTAGCCTCAGCTACTGGATTAGCTCCATTGTTCTGCGGATTAAGAGCATACAATGCACTTATTTATCTAAAATAAAGACCTCCCTTCCCCACCAGACCTCTCCATTACTTCCTCACCTCTTCTCTATCACCAGACAAGCTCTACGACAGTGATACCGTGGCAGACCCTTGCGGCGCGGTTGGACTATCACACTCTAACCCTTGGGCTGACGAGCCAAGACTGGAAGCACATCGTGTGCGCGCACAGCTCGGGTTACGTCAGGTCAGTTCCCTCCGCAGCCTCTGCCCTGAACCTATGAAATAACTTCTTAGCCCTCCGTGCCAGCCTGAGAGGGTGTGCCTCGGGAAGTTAGGATTACTCGGGTTCCTTAGTTACCATGCTACAAAACAAAAGGAACACCAGAATGCATAAAAACCTTTCCTGTGTATCAGCATAACGCAATCTTTCATTCAAGGTTTAAAAACAGTGGGACTGTGGCTTTATTCCACGTCATGTTCCAGGTTAAGAAGCCCATGCCCCTTGGCTGACAAATAGAGGGTGCCTTTATACCACTTACAAATAGTGATTGTAAATTATTAGTAATATTTGAAGATATAAAGTAATATGAGATTACTTTACTGGTCACAAAAAAGCAGAGACAAGCACTAAAAACACCAAAAAAACCTGTAGAAATTTAAAAATGTAATAGTCACACAAGTAAATTTATAAGGAAAATTCTCTTGGGATCAATGATGAGCAAGATTGAAGATGGATATAAGTAAAAATTTAAAATGTGCCCAGCCTTTGTCAGGAGGTAGGTAGAGTTAATTTCTGTGATTTTGGAGAAATCACTTTATAATCAACCCTATATTAGTTAAAATTTATATGTAAATTCTTATGTTGTTTTCCTTAGAAACGTAACAGAGAACATTTGAAAACTGAAAGTACTGCAACCATTTATTATATATCACTGCAGCTTTATCTTTCCACTTCATCCATCCACTCAAATGCTTTCAGAATCCCTACTATGTACCAGTTGCCCTGTTAGATGCTATGGACACAAAGGTTTGTAAGACACACCGATTCTGTCCTTGCGCCATGCCTGTCTCAGCTGGGGACACAGACAGGAAGCACAGTTCAGCGTTGCCCTCCTGGAGACCAGGAGGGAATCTGTATGGTAACGGAGCACGAGTTTCATCTGGGCGTGTGAAGGTGTGACGGAGTGTTTGCCAGAGAGACTTTTACCCAGGCCTGACAGGTCCTCCAGAGGCCAACCACAGCAACTGGGAGGAAAAAATTAAAACACTTCATCCTCAAGTTCCCAGTTAGAATTTCAGCAACCAGAAAGAGGTTTAACGGGCAACAAGCAAAGAAAACCCAGACCTGAATCTTCCTGTAATGATATTTGGATTTCCTATGCTGGGGAGGGTGTGGAGGAAAGGGAACCCTCCCACCCTCATGTTGGGAACGTAAATTGGCACAGCCACGATGCAAAACAGTATGTGTCTGCTTAGTCACTAAGTCCTGTCCAACTCTCTGTGACCCCTGGACTGTGGCCCGCCAGGCTCCTCTGTCTGTGGGATTCTCCAGGCAAGAAGACTGGAGTGGGTAGACATTCCCTTCTCCAGGAGATCTTCCCAACCCAAGCACTGAACCCAGGTCTCCTGCACTGCAGGTGGAGTATGGAGGTTCCTTAAAAAAAGATTACCATATGATCCAGCAATCCCACTCCTGGGTAAACTGGGAGGAAACTGTGATTTGAAAGGATGCATGCACCCAGTGTTCACAGCAGCACTACCTGCAATAGCCAAGACATGGTCATAACCTAAATGTCCAGAGACAGATGAGAGCATAAAGGAGATGTATGCACACACAATGGAATAGTACTCAGCCATAAAAAGAATGAAACGTTGCCACTTGCAGGAACATGGATGGACCTAGAGATTACTGTACCGAGTGAAGTAAGTCAGGAAGGTAGATACCACATGATGCTACATGTGGAGTCTAAACTATGCAAATGACCTTACTTACAAAACAGAAACAGACTCACGGACAGAGAAGACAACCTTACCGTTACCACAGGAGAAAGGAACGGAGGGCTAAACTAGGAGCTTGGGGTTAGCAGATACGACCTACTCTATATAAAGCAGATGATCAACAAGGTCCGAGTGTGTAGCATAGGGAACTACAGTCCATATCTTACAAAGAAACAAATGGCAAAGAATGAAATATATATATATATTTGTCAGGATGTAGGTAGAGTTCATTTCTGTGATTCCAGAGAAATCACTTTACAATCAACTCTATTTTAGTTAAAATGTATATGTAAATTCTTATGTTGCTTTCCTTAGAAAATTAATAGTGAACATTTATATATATATAAATAAATAAGTAGATGATATATATCATTTATATAAATAAATGGACATATATGTATATATTTATTTATAAAACTGGATCACTTCGCTATACACCAGAAACTAACACAACACTGTAAAATCAACTATGCTTCAATTGAAAAAAAAAAGATACGGATTTTAAAAATAAAATTTGTCAGATTAAAATGAAAAATTCATCTCATGTCTTAAACATTTGTCACATAACCCAAATTCATACTCCTTTATTCAGTTTACTGCTGAAATTGTACATTTGGCTGGGAGTAGGTGTACCGGGACCATTAAAACAAGCACAAATACCCATTCCATGGTCAAGTAGAAACTTTTTAAATCAATCACCTCACTGATCTGCAAAGCACCAATCACAGCCTCACACCACATAATGAAGAATCTAGGGGTCTTCTGGTTCTCCCCGCTCCCTGGGTGGCTCAGCTGGTAAAGAATCTGCTGCAATGCAGGAGATCCGGGTTCGACCCCTGGGTTGGGAAGATCCCCTGGAGAAGGGAAAGGCTACCCACACCAGTATTCTGGTCTGGAGAATCCCATGGACTGTACAGTCCCTGGGGTCACAGGGTCAGACACGCCTGAGCGACTCTCACTTTCTGGTTCTCTGAGTTTAGAGCATCCTGCTGATAAGGGGCTGCTCACCTTCGCTCTGTCCCGTGACCCCAGACAGGGGCCCT